TTTAACTTTCTCGAACAGTTGCAATGCAAAGTCCAAAAAAAATAGAGTTGATCATCGTATTTTCCCACATCGTTTTTGGACACCAGCAATCCCCGATTCTTTACCGGGGTCGGCGGCAGGGGCGGCAGCCCTTAAATATACCACATGGGGGTGCAGTTCCAGTTATAAGTGGATATTATATAACCGTACGTAGTTATAGGTTATAGGTCTTATATATTCTTACATCCCAAGTTTATAGGGGGGCATTACCATGGTTCTACCCACTAAACCCACCTGCACCCCCAAGTAGCTTGGAGGGCACCATGGCACCCGGCCCTGCGAAGGGGTACATCATCAGCTGCTCCTGGCGTTGCGAGGTTCATCCCCCAAACAAAGAGAAGCCATCCGCCACAACATGCCCACAGGATCACAACAGGATCCCAACAGGCACCTCTCCGATCATCGACAATAAAAAGCCTTGCATCAAAAAGTTCAACCTCGGTGACACCATGCGGCAAGCCAAGGTGCCTCCGCTCCCAACACCGCCATGGCTAACCCCCCGGGATCCCCGGGGCATCCCCACAGGGTGAAGAAATAGATGCGGACCACCACGGCAATCAGCGACCCAGGCCATCCACAACCTGAAGGAAGAGCTGCCAGAACTTATGAAATCTGGTGAAAGTTTGAAGATTTTGAAGTAAAGTTTACATCAGTTTACCCCAAGTCAGATCAAGGAATCTTGGGAAGTAGATGGTCCAGGGAAAGCAGTGCTTGGCCTTGACTGTGACTGAAAACACTGTGCGACTGAAACAGACAACTCTGAATTCCTACACCACCTGGGTGTCCAAATCGGCAATCCACAATCTTGGACAGGTCCAGAATGGTCCAGATATGTCCTGATGGCACACACTGTACATGGCCACCCCGCTTCGAGCAATTTGGGGCATTGCCACAGCAGCACCATACACCTTGGATGGCGGGAACTTGAGGTTGAGCCTGAACTTTTCCGAAAGCTATAGGAGTTCAGTCTACTGACAGACCAGACTGAAGCAATTGCAATACAGCAACTGATACACCCACAAGTGAAGATGGGACCAATATCATGGAGATCAGATCTGGACCGGCCTCGCTTCGGCCAGCTAAGGCTTTGTGGATGCCATCTCCCTTGAAAACTTGGGAATCCTGCAATTGTTGGGACCTAGATCAATTAAGTAAAATATGATATTGTAAACACTGTAAAATGCCAATCCAACTGTTCAAAACCAGTAGAAAACTCTCCAGTTCGCCGTCCAGCACCATGGTCACACGGTGGTCACACGGTGGTCACAGGGTGAACCTCCCAAAGTCGATCGCACGTCGAGCTACGGAATCGGCTTCGATGCAACAGTAGCCCTCGCTCTCCATCCTTGGTGACCGCGATTCTGTGCACATTGAGATTTCTGGATTTATTGGATCATGGTGTCATACAGGAGTCTAGTGCTGGGAAAAAAATGGATGGTCTTCACCATTCACTAAAGCCCTTTTATAACCAGAAACACATTCCGTCAAGTTCCTTTTTTTTCAAAAGGCCACAATCTCCTTTTTTCAAAAACCAGGAAAGCCCCAAAACCGGAGAATGCGGTGTCCATCGGTGTCCATCAAACTGCACAGGTCTTAACCAAGACCCCCTACTTGCTCAACACCGACAGCGCCTTGGAGGCTGCCACCTGGCAATGGCAGCAATTCCAGGGGGATGTGAAATCTCAGGAGATCACCCAAAAGACATCTGGGTTGGTTTGAAAAGTGGGAAACAAAACAAAACTCGAAGTTAGCCTTAATCACATTCAATCTATCTTAATCATCATGATGTTCTCGAAAAGGATGGGCATGTTTTTTATCCAGCAACCCCCATGCAATGCGCCCAATAAAAAATGGATGGACTGGAACCAATCCTGCAACAGGAGGTGCGCACCAGTCTGTTTATATCATCGTTGCAGGAATTATTATATCATAGGATGGTAATTAAAATGTCGGTAAGGTACTATAATGGTGATGATATCAATACATGTATCTACTGTCATGATAGCGATGGTGATTGTGATGATTGTGATGATTGTGATGATTGTGACGATGACGATGACGATGACGACGATGATGACGATGACGACGACGACGACGACGATGATGATGATGGTGATGGTGATGGTGCTGGTGATGACAATAACAATAACAATAACAATAGTAATAGCAATAGTGATAGTAGGAACAACTAGAGCAATGGCATGGCTCACAAACGCATCTTTACCATGTGGGGATGGCTCAAATTTGTTGACCCTGGATCCTGGAATGGTTAGATGCTAAATGTCTATCAATTGAGATCTTTACGGCTACCCCATGTTTATAGCAAGCCATAATAACCTCGGATAAAAAAAAAAAAATGTGTTTTTCGGGGACTTTACTGGCCTATTGTTCTATCCTTTTGGGGGTTAAGAAACAAAAATATCCCCACCTTGGGCAGGTCCTCGTCTGGGACGGAGCCAGCTGCCTGGCTGGGCCATGTGTGTATTGTCACTATCTAAACACATACATATATATATATATATGCATCATGCATGTCAAGAAAAGGATTTTTGAGTTGCGTATCACAAATCTTGTTTTCAACCTTTGGGACTCCCTTGTAGCGGGAGTTGTAATCAACAGTGCCTCAAACCTGGGCGCCCGGGTGCCTTCCGCTCCAAGCCTTCCTCCTCCTGTGCTTGGCATGGTGTTAGGTTGCGTTATGAGGAGAACGCAGAGTCGATGGTTGAAAAAGGTTGAAAAAGGTTGAAAAAGGTTGAAAAAGGTTGAAAAAGGTTGAACACCCATGAAAACCTTATCGTTTCCCATTGGAATGGAAATTTGGGGTCCAAAAAAGAACTTCTTCGGCCATTCGATGGATGCATGGTTGCGCATGCGACGTCAAGCAACTTGGGACCACGGAAGCTGGACGGAAATTTTGGCAGTGCAGTGGTGCTGTGCCCACTTTTGGTGATCATCTCAATGATTGATGATGATTTAGCCACCGGCCAAATTTATGTGTCCCCAAAAGTGGAGAGTTTAAGACTAAAAGCTCAAAAATGGTTACTGCTGACCCTCATTTATAGCACCCACTACTGGTTACTGCTGATTCTCATCGCCTCCTTCAAAGCTGTGTAGGACGCATCCTTTCCGGCTGAGGTGGATTTCCTGCCAAGGCGGCCCTGAAGAGGACCTTTTCTTGTACAAAAATGTCCTAATACCATTTCGAATTCAAAGCGTATGGTGTGATTCTAGTCAAATTTCATTGATAGAGATTTTGTTGAGATTCTGATTTCCAAGTTCCAGCCATGTAGAAACTTGTTCCACACCTGCTGTGACTGTGACTATCGGCACCTGCACGCAACATCACCCAGCTGGGTTCACATCGGCGCTTCTGTCCGAAATGCAAGTAGAACTCATCAAAATGGGTAGTGAGGGGTATAAAGATATAACACGGTATAACCAACGGTCGTGTGGTACAGATGTTGTCAACAAGAATAGTGATACGTCCATGTGAATGTTCCACAAACTTTTTTGGATAACCGTAGATGGCTTCCGCGCGAAAGTCGAAAGTATCGAATGGTAGATCTGGGGTCCTAGATCTTGGGACATGCCCATACTTGGAATTCCTCCTACCGTGCAGCGATCTGTCCTACCAGTTACAAATTGGGTTGTAAACACCCGGGTCTACAGTTCGTATCGGATGGTTTACATTTTTGTATCTCACACAATTGCGAAAGCTAGTTCTGGGTTGAGGTACCAGGTAGTGAATCCATAGCAACTTGCAACCAACACTTCAGGACTTGTCTGGAGCACTGCTGATATCTGATGAGAGCAATGGTTATCAAAAAAAAGCCAGTTGAAAATGTGCGAACAATGCAACTTCAGATCAATCAATAATTGTTCGACCTGTCGTGCAGATTGTTTTTACATCAGCTTCCTCAAGAGACTCCACTTAGACAGTATAATCCTCGATACAAACTGGCGCTAGCCACCTTCTATCCAAGCGACTCCAGCAGAATCTATGGGTTTGTCTGAAAAGGGTTGGCCCATCAGTTTGATCCTAAAAATTCTGGTTGATCATCATGTTCCTCATAAAATGGCCATGACAAAAGGGACAAAAGGGGAAAGGCCCCGCCTTTTTGAAGTCGACCATCATAGAATCTCATGGCTGCAACCACGTCGGAGAATCGACACTGGAAGATCAGTAAAACTTGCTTTGAAAGCTAAACTGGGAAGTTGTTTTTCCTTGCTTGGTCATCAAGAGATGGCGAAGATGGTGTTTTGTGCAGTCAAAATCCCATTCATGGCCTGCCATTTGTTCGTGGACTCAGATATGTTCATGGTCCGTCACATTCTGGGCATCCGGCTGCGCAGGTCTTAGTCCATCAACCCTTCATCAGTATGGTGGACCCACCGCGGGCTTCTCATTTTGGGCGGTGCTGAGAATTTTGATGCATGCCCACATTCAACTATAGCTGTGGTAGTTCCAAGCAACACTTCAACTGCCAACACTTCAGGCAAATTCAGGCCCCATGGATGCGTTCGACAAGGACGTGAGGGATTTATGAAATTGTCCGAATTTTCAACAAGGTTCCTTTTGGGCCAAGACATACCTTCATCCTCACCAACCACCAGCCCTGCCTTTTTTTTTCTGCGGATCGACCGCTCAGAGATCCAAGGGTTGAACCCAGTCTCTGAGATCAAGATTCAAGCCTCCACCCTTTGGGTGGACGAAAAAGAGCCGGGTGGCTCAAATTGGACGAGTTCAAACGGAAAAACGTAAGGACATCTGTGCAACCTGAATCGCAGCAAATTTGAGCCACACTCAAAAGCCAAGAAAGGCCCCCGGCAAGGCGGTGGCAGAGCTAGTAGCAACATATCCCGCTAGCCAGCTTTTGCTCATCCGCCAGCGACATACTGGCGTCCCAGCGCCAAAATTGATGCTGTGAGGATTTCCAGCAGTCGAACAAAAAGTGTCCACCTCACACGAATGCCTCCCTGGTATGCTCTACCATCATGTCATCAGTAGCACTTCGCGTTGGTGGTGGAGGAGTCACTTCCTAAGAGCTCAGAGAGGATTTATCCAGTTTCATGAAAGCAAACTGCAGATTACAGGCACTGGCAATTGAAACAATCTAACAAAAACTAAGTCTTTTGAACAACATCAACAATGGGGTGCAGTGGATCCTGCGGTTTGCTCCTTCACCTTTTTTTCCGCTTGGCTTTGGGGGAATGGACTGCTCATGATCCCACCTCGGCCCAAACATTCAGCCTTCCAAGGCTACCGGCATCTACCGGCTAACAGGTTAACACAATGGATTCAAATATGTCAAATATGTCATGAGTTTCCGCTCCAAGGCCCTAAGTTAGTTTGTCAAAAACGGCTTTCAACCAGCTGGGATCGAAACCATCAACAAATTGTGACAGCGTGTTGGTTGCTGATATCCCATTGTAAAATCACCAAACTGTTGTTGGTAGAACCAATCGGGTTTTAATGGTAACCCGTAAAGGTGACAAACCCAAACACACACAAACTCCATTCTTGGTATGGTTTTGAATGTCCCCAAAATGGTCAACTTGTGTAAATGGGATATGGGTTACAACATTGAGTTAACCACATGAATTCGTCTGAAAATGGAGCACGCCAAAATCCGTCTGAAAATCAATTTGTTCATCATTTTCCCTCTCAAAATAGTCAGACCCATTGCAGGTATACCGGGATATACCGGGTATACCCCATTTTAAAGGCAGACCCACAGCAGGTCACCCTTGGCCATTTCACCAAGCTACCGCCTTGGGCGTGGTCGTGATCTCCGCCCCTGGCTCCATGGCCACAGGCGCTGGTGCAGTGACTGGTAGACTTTGGTCGTGGCTCTTCTGGTTCCTGCCCCAGGACAGTCCAATGGCGGAAAATGTGGCGAAGATTTTCGTGAAAATGTCCACAGTGCCATGAGATTCTCATGAAAATCTCCACAAATGAAGGATTTTACGCATTTTTACCCCCAATGTATTGCCATTTGTTCAGGGGCAAAATGATGAGAAGCCATGGAGTCCCCCTTTGTCAGATTCAGACAAGCCCACAGATTCGAAAGCAGGAAAACATTGGGCATTCAAAATGATCATGGAATAGGACCTGAACAATATAGAGTATGGTATATGTTTGAAAACACACCGGCCACAATCACTAGGTCGTGGGGCGATCAATCAGGAAAGAGTGAAACGGAATGATACAATACAGTGGTGCTCCGATTTCGTTTTTTAAGCATACTATATGACTCATGACTATATGATACTACATGACTATATACCAGAAATAAACTCTCGAGAATGTATTTGACGTAACCACACGCAAAGTACTGTGATATATGACCAGACATGGCACACGGTGTTTCAAAGGTGCACATGGAACACCTTCAGCAAGGATTTTGAAACGCCCAAGTACTGGAGATTGTGGACATTGGACACCTCAAAAAAAAGGGTGTGGTCTGATGCCAAGGTTCGCATTCTCGACATTCCAGAGCAGAATGTACAAGGCGAAGAAGATCGTTGAAATGATCCCATAGGCACCGCCCACCTCGAAAATCAGGCGTGCATTCAACGGTGTGCCAAACACCCATGGGGACGGCCGAGTGTGTCATTACCAAAGAAATTTGTTGCGGATCCTTTCTGTCCAGCAGGCCTCTCCGATCAGGGAGACGATGAAATCTAGTTTCTCCAGGGTCTTTTCATAGAATTCCGGCTTCATGACGATCTGAGCAGCATAAGCACCGCTTCGGTGCTCCTGCAACAAAGGCTTCATGGTTTTACCTGAAAAAAATGGGGAAAAAGAAACAATAACGGCTGCAAACCTCACCTTCCCCATAAAATTGGCCACAAACTGGTGATTGAATCCCCCAATTTTCAAACAGACCCTCCTAATCATATAAAGGAGATCCCCGACGAAACACAGCTTGTGATCTGCCCCAACTCTGCCTGGCAGCCACTATGCTCTGGCGCAAGAGCCTTCCAAGTATGGAGCTTTAAAAGCATCTGAGTATGGGTCAAAATTAAAGACTAGTGTTACTATTAACATCTAATTATTAACCATTTACTCTATATTGGGCTACCCAATGTTAACCCATACCCATCTGCGTCCACCTCATCACTTTGCCACACATCAGTCATCGCAGTACAGTAAATGTGCGTGTAAATGTGCGTGCGTGTGTGTGTGTGTCTATGTTCATATGTATGCACGTATGCACGACCTATATATGTCAGATGTCAGCTGCACACAAGCACACCCAAACACGAACCTAGTCAAATCACTCAGAAGCCACAAGACATACTGTAATCCTTGTAGATTCTTGCAGAACAACATGATCTTCTAACGCACACTCTCCTCACTAACTTGACTTGAGTTGACTGTTCTGATAATAAGTCACATCCTGACTATATCCTGGCATCCTGCAAAAATGGTGATTCAACTTGCTAGTTGGTCTTCCAAGAACTCTCATTGAAGCCACTCGGCCGCGCCAATCGCGGCCTCAGAGGACAAGTACATGGTGAACCACTCGTGGCGCAGCCGCTCCCACTCACCAGACTCTTTGGTCTTGTCCTGTCACCAGACTCGAAGACGGTACCCTGTCATGCTTGGATGTCTCACACAACAAGGGGGTGGGAACCGAGAAAGGCGAAGATCGCCAACAGTGCTGAGAACGTGCAGTGACATGCAGTGTTGCTGCAGGTGGTCCAAACCTTGACAAATTGGTTGTGTTGCGCGAAAAAACTGGGGAATTGTCTGTTTTACCGTTGCCGGGCCCCCTATCCACTCCTCAGTCTTCACGTACGTCATGGACGAACGTCCTGCCTGCAGCACTACACGAGAATGGATCCAAGCGACTCAGTCCATGGGTCCCAAGCTCTTCAAATTTGACACCTACGATGATCAGTATTCCTAAGCTATCAATATATAAATCAATACTGTCAATACAGTCAGTCAACCAAGAAACCATCCCGATGTTTACCAGAAGTGGCTGGTATAAACACCATCGAAATATGGGTGGTATATTGGCATTGCTTTACTAGCACCGCCTTTTCAATGGAGATCAGCCGTGATCAGCCCCCGCCAGGCGCCTCAATGGCCTGCTTCATCCACATGCTCTTCGCTTGCGAATAGATCCTGCAGCCCCATGCTTTGCTCAGATCATTTTCAGCGACAACGCAACTGGAAATGGTGTGCCAAAACGGGATGATTTATGGAGCCAATCAGGTCGTGCCAAGATTCGAGATGCCACTGCTGCTTCCCGTCCACCATGCATGGAGACCTCGTGGCGGGGATCATTGAATCATCGTTGCCCGCTCTCCGGCCGAGAATTTGAAACAAGTTTTGAAGCCGCCAACCAACGCAGTTGTACTTGGGGTTGTAACCCAAAAAAACATGGTTTGCATATATCTTGATGGTAAATCAATGTAAATCCTCAATTCTTAACACAAACTCCATACACCTGTCCACCTGTCCACCTGTCCACCTGTCCACCTGTCCACCTGTCCACCTGTCCACCTGTCCACATCCGCCAAGCTGCCTTCTCGGGCGGCTAGGGAGTAGCACATCTGCAGCTCTAGTTCTTGGCCGGCTGCCAGGGAAATACATCTACCTGGCGGATCGCAGCCCTTTGGATGATACCAAAAGGCCAAAGATGGTGCAGCCATGACATTCATGATGAGCCTTCATGAGCCTTGATTTCCAGAGAGTTCAACTATTGATCAGACTACATTACTTCAAGCCATTCTTAAGCATCATGACAGCTTTGATGCTGCCACTGCTTGTTCTTTTCACAGTCTGCAACCTGGGATGAGGGCTCAAATGAATGCTCAATCGCTGAAAGAAGCTGTATCTGGCTGCGACACTTTCACCCGATGCAATTCAAGGAATTGGCAAAATCAGCCACCACTGGGCCGCCTGAACTTTCAGATTCGCAACCTGAGAGGTACAGCCAGCAACTCGCTCCCTGGCAGGTTCTCCAAGGTGGTGTGGTGATCATGTGTCATCCGGAGACTGACATCCAGAAAATCCATACGTATATCTACTATGGTCAAAGTGAAATAACGAACACCCCTTTCAGCCGGCAAAATAGTCATCAACTTTCAATGGAGGCCAAAAAAAGTCGTGCCAATTTTCTTTGCTACACTGTAGTATTTATGCAGTAAGTGCACCAATGTAGAGCAACGCATTCGACCTCTTGGACTTCTAGCCATCTGCCATTCATGTGTCGGCATCGCCTCGTGACAGGACACCTTCATGGGATACGGTCCATAGGAGATGGACCAGTCAATCACCAGGGTCTCCACTGGCGGTTTCTGCTGATGCTGCACGAACCACACAATGCCGTAGATCAGCACCGCCGGGACCATCAACAGCGTCAGGCAACATCCGGTCTTCCCGGGATGCCGTTCGGGCTCGGTGTTGTGGAAGGTGTCGAACCAGTGGTAGACCTTCTCCTTAGACGAGTCGTCGGTGGGAGTCTGGTTCAGAAACAGGAAATATCAATCGGAAATCATGGATAATTGTGGTAAAAACTGACGGAAAGGATCCGCCGAGAATTGTCATCTCCACGCCTAGATTGCCAAACCGTTCTCGTGACCCCGGGTTTGTTGGCCCCTGGTGGTCATCCTAACTTGCAACCGCATACTGTACATGGATACAACGGATATCACGCCGTTTCGCAGTCTCACCTCCACAATCTCATCAAAAGATTACCCGAGCACGTTGTGCCAGGTCGGTTGTCAACAAACATCCAAGATTACACTGTGTTACACTGTGTTCTTCAGTTAGAAACAGTTCCGCTGTCATTTGAAGGGCACTTCTTCATGGAACATTCTGGGAAAACCAAGACTCCAATTTTAGCCTTGCGGAATCTGTCGCCATTGCTACCGGCCCACCAGTCGGTGGTGAAATGTTTGAGCCAACTGACAGCCGAGCAGTCCGTGTTTCGATCCCTGCTGTCGTCCTTTTGCCGGGAAATCTCCAGCTTTCGGCGGCAAATTATACAAGATGCCAAGGAAGAGCGGAATCTCGAACGGCATATGGATGTGAAGCTGGAGGCCATGTTACAATTTTCCGACACTTGCACAGCTGGCAAAACATTTATGTTTTTGGTGCAAAAGCATGTTGGATGTTTTGGCACAACGGAAGTCACAGCTGCTGAGTCTGGATGACACATGAGCAGTCTTGAAGGGGGCCCAAAACCTGAAGATTGATCCCCTTCAAGAAAGAGACCCCTGGGTTTGTTGAACCCCCCATGTACTGAAGCAAGAGTAACACAGCTGATTTGGTGTGTCCTTGATGTTTTCCAAGACCTTATTTAGCACCGGCTGTGATGATTCACAACGTCGAATCTGCCGAAAACCTCTGCACGTGCAGCTGGACGCCCTTTTCCTCTGCGGGCAAAACCTGGACAGGCAGCAGTCCAACACATGATGAAAAAACATGAGAAAGCAAGATTCCCTGCGTTGGACATTGAGGAAAGTTCAATTCTCTGATTCCAGCTGAATCAAGTGGATTCCCTCCTGGGGTCATCGGATAGACTTGCCATGATAAAGAACCAAGAATGTAGTCAGATGTAATATTTGTTCTGCCCTTGTTTGTCCATGTTTGTCCGTTCCCTTTATGGGGCACTACTGAGGCACCATGGAGCTGCCTGTGGGTCACATGGCCTAGGAGCGCAGCAATTGACTATCAACTGCATCCACTTCCCCATGGCCCCAACCACACTGCGAAAAAAACCGACCCAATTTTGGGCTAAAGCCCTTTTTCCCATTTCCAGCTCTTACACATTCTGGTACTTTCCCCCCTTGATCTGCTCCCACCTTGATCATCAGCAGCTTCTCCTGGTGATCCCACAGGTGCCGGATGGATATAGATGGATATAGTGGATTGATATCACTTACTGATGCTGTTTATGATGTTTCTTTGAATCTGGAACTTATTGGTTCATGCACGCTTCAAAGGTGGGCTGTGTATGTTTTCAATGCTGTTTTCACAATCGGCTGACGCATCTGACTCTAGTGCTTCACATCAAACGTGGAGAATCAAGCTACAACTAGTTTGCAAGCCGCAGCAATTGTTCAGTCTTTTTGTCTCCTGCCTGCAGCTGAGCTTTCTCGTCCAAGCTAGCCTCTTGGGTTGGGCGGATGATTCCCAGTCTTTCCTTAACTTGTAATTAGTGCAATTACGAGGAGTGATGGTGAAGGCCCCTTATGGTGCACAGTGGATGGCATGTCCGAAAGATGTCCGCTCCAAATGCATCCGAAAGAAAGGCACAAACTCAACAAACTCGGATTGGTTTGTTCACCAATCCACCCATATTATCAATATATATATATGTATTATATATTATATAATTAATTATATATGTATTATCCGTATCCATGATTATCCCATCTTCACTAAGTTTGACCACCGCCTTTTGCATCTTCTGCTGAACGAAAGCAGCGCTTGGACACCAAGCGCTGCTTTCGTTCAGCCAAGCGCTGGTCCTCCTCAGCCTCATTTTGAGCAGTAAAGTCTGTGAGAAAAATGCTATTTGATGTTGATGACATGATGCTTGATATCACTTACTGATGCTGTTTATGATGTTTCTTTGAATCTGGAACTTATTGGTTCATGCACGCTTCAAAGGTGGGCTGTGTATGTTTTCAATGCTGTTTTCACAATCGGCTGACGCATCTGACTCTAGTGCTTCACATCAAACGTGGAGAATCAAGCTACAACTAGTTTGCAAGCCGCAGCAATTATTGTAGATGGGGTTCTAACCCAAAAGACCCAAAAGAAAAAACATGGTTTGCATATATCTTGATGGTAAATCATGTAAATCCTCAATTCTTAAGACAAACTCCATACACCTGTCCACCTGTCCACCTGTCCACCTGTCCACATCCGCCAGGCTGCCTTCTCGGGCGGCTAGGGAGTAGCACATCTGCAGCTCTAGTTCTTGGCCGGCTGCCAGGGAAATACATCTACCTGGCGGATCGCAGCCGGATGAGGATACCAAAAGGCCAAAGATGGTGCAGCCATGCCATTCATGACGAGCCTTGATTTCCAGAGAGTTCAACTATTGATCAAATTACATACTTCAATCCATTCTTGAGCATCATGACTCATGACAGCTTTGATGCTGCCACCATCTGCCACTGCTTGTTCTTTTCACAGTCTGCAGGGATGAGGGGCTCAAATGCTCAATCGTTGAAATAAGCTGTATCTGGCTGCGACACTTTCACCCGATGCAGGGAATTGGCGAAATCAGCCGCCACTAGGCCGCCTGAACTTTCAGATTCGCAACCCGAGAGGTACAGCCAGCAGCTCGCTCCCTGGTTCTCCAAGGTGGTGTGTGGTGATCATGTGTCATCCGGAGACTGACATCCAGAAAATCCATATACCTACTAATCTACTATGGTCAAAGGAAAAAAAATAAAACAGCGAACGCCCCTTTCAGCCGGCAAGATAGTCATCAACTTTCAATGGAGGCCAACAAAAGTCGTGCCAATTTTCTTTTGCTACACTGCAGTATTTATACAGTAATTGCACCAGTGTGCAATTCCCAAGAGCAACGCATTTGACCTCTTGGACTTCCCTCTAGCCATCTGCCACCCATGTGTCAGCATCGCCTCGTGACAGGACACCTTCATGGGATATGGTCCATAGGAGATGGACCAGTCAATCACCAGGGTCTCCACTGGCGGTTTCTGCTGATGCTGCACGAACCACACAATGCCGTAGATCAGCACCGCCGGGACCATCAACAGCGTCAGGCAACATCCGGTCTTCCCGGGATGCCGTTCGGGCTCGGTGTTGTGGAAGGTGTCGAACCAGTGGTAGACCTTCTCCTTAGACGAGTCGTCGGTGGGAGTCTGGTTCAGAACCAGGAAATATCAATCGGAAATCATGGATAATTGTGGTAAAAACTGACGGAAAGGATCCGCCGAGAATTGTCATCTCCACGCCTAGATTGCCAAACCGTTCTCGTGACCCCGGGTTTGTTGGCCCCTGGTGGTCATCCTAACTTGCAACCGCATACTGTACATGGATACAACGGATATCACGCCGTTTCGCAGTCTCACCTCCACAATCTCATCAAAAGATTACCCGAGCACGTTGTGCCAGGTCGGTTGTCAACAAACATCCAAGATTACACTGTGTTACACTGTGTTCCTCAGTTAGAAACAGTTCCGCTGTCATTTGAAGGGGACTTCTTCATGGAACATCCTGGGAAAACCAAGACTCCAATTTTAGCCTTGCGGAATCTGTCGCCATTGCTACCGGCCCACCAGTCGGTGGTGAAATGTTTGAGCCAACTGACAGCCGAGCAGTCCGTGTTTTGATCCCTCCTGTCGTCTTTTTGGTGCTGGGAAATCTCCAGCTTTCGGCGGCAAATTATACAAAATGCCAAGGAAGAGCGGAATCTCGAACGGCATATGGATGTGAAGCTGGAGGCCATGTTACAATTTTCCGACACTTGCACAGCTGGCAAAACAAGCACCAACAGGAACTGACCAAGACCAATGTCAAGAGGATTCAAGAGGTTTTTTGGATGTGTTTGGTGCAAAAGCATGTTGGATGAAGGGGGTGCGAAACCTGAAGATTGGTCCCCTTCAAGAGAGAGACCCCTGGGTTTGTTGAACCCCCCATGTACTGAAGCGAAAGTAACACAGCTGATTTGGTGTGTCCTTTATCTTTTCCAAGACCTTATGTAGCACCGGCTGTGATGATTCACAACATCGAATCTGCCCAAAATCTCTGCAGCTGGACACCCTTTTCCTCTGCCATCTCCAGGCTGTGCGGGCGAAACCTGGACAGGCAGCAGTCCAACACATGATGAAAAAACATGAGAAGGCGAGATTCCCTGCGTTGGGCATTGAGGAAAGTTCAATTCTCTGATTCCAGCCGAATCAAGTGGATTCCCTTCTGGGGTCATCGGATAGACTTGCAATGATAAAGAATCAAGAATGTAGTCAGATGTAATATTTGTTCTGCCCGACTGTTTGTCCATGTTTGTCCGTTCCCAAACAACGGGGCACTATGGAGGCACGATCGAGCTGCCTGTGGGTCACATGGCCTAGGAGCCCAGCAATTGACTATCAACTGCATCCACTTCCCCCATGGCCACAACCACACTGCGAAAAAAACTGGCCCAATTTTGGGCTAAAGCCCATTTTTCCATTTCCAGCTCTTACACATGCTGGTACTTTCCCCCCTTGACCCGCTCCCACCTTGAAGTCATCAGCAGCTTCTCCTGGTGATCCCACAGGTGCCGGATGTGGATGGATGGATATAGTGGAGAATAGTGCACTAAAAATGAGACATCCAAAAAGCTTTTTCTTGGCGCTGCACTAGCGATGAAGACGAATGGGCACGCAACTTACCGTCATGGATATGTAGAGTACAAGGTGATGAAATCCTTCCATTTGCCTTCAGAATGTGTAAAAGGTGTTCCAGCACGCATGGCACTTGGATCAATTACTGAATTACATTCGAGCTCTCGGCAAACGGAAGCCCAGCTTGCAACATCACAAAAACTCAACTCAACGACTCAGAGAGTTGAGCCCTGGGGAGTCTGGCAGCAGCCACCCTTGAACTGTCCTTGAAACCACTCAAAAGCGATCAGATTCCCCACAACTGATGCAAAAGAATGCAAGGTCGTATCCTCTGTTTCCGAGGTACGGCCAGAGCATCTTCACGTCGGATGACCTCGGCAAGAGCGTCACTGGTGCTGCTCAGGACAACATGGACAACATTCCATTGACTCCCGTTAAGAGTGATCATGCTTTCACCACACTCGGCGTTCTAAGGAGGGTCAACTTTGACAATCATGCTAAACCAGTCACATCTAGAGACAAACTGGAGAGACGGTAGCAGCACAAGTGGACGTAGATACGCATAGAGCATAGAAACATGCAACCTACAAACTATCCATCTATATACCTCATCTCCAAACTATCTAGCATTTGAAAAGTCCCTTCGTTCCCTTCGCAGCAAGGGTTTGCAAATGTTTGCAACATCTATGACAGCATTTCCCTTTGGGCCTGGTGACAGCTGCGAATTCCGGATAGCAGAAAGGGACGCATGCCTCACCGGCGTGCCACGGGTGAAGATTCTCATTTCCGGTTCGCCGCACCAACTCAGGACTGCCAGGATTCAAAGTGTACATGATACAGGTGCTGCAGTTGGTGCGACTGGCGGAGTTGCACTGCTCCATTCGTGCAGATGCGCCGTCGGGGTGTGCAATTGGTGCTATTGGTGTGTTGAGTTGCCTGGCAACTGCACAAACTTCACCAACTACAAAAAACATATAGTCTGCCAGTTTTCCCCATCGCCAAGTCCCAGCTTTGATATGTGTAATGGTTGTGGGTGGTGAGATATAAACTCACCTGTGGGTGAAATCTGCCTTCCGGTACTTGAAAAAGGGCCCCTTGATCTGCCCCTCCCACCTTGACGTTTTTCCCAGGCCATCAGCAGCTTCCCAACCTGCCAGGGAGATACCAGGTCACCCTGGATTTCATTCCACCCTTGGATGATGAAGGATGGTGCCTGCAAATGCGACTGCAGATGGCGAGGCGACGGCGTTCCTACCCACTGCAGGCGTTTTTTTTCAGCGATAAAGACGGATCGGTCACGACTCGGGAGGAATCTGTACACTTCAGCAATTGAGCCTCCGTTTGCACGTGCGACACTCGGATCAACTACTCAGTAACTACTCCATTGCTTTTCAAGTCTTCGGCAAATGGAAGGTCAGCTTGCAACACCTGCTTGGAAGACTCCACTCACCTATTCGGAAGGTGGAGCCATGAGGAGTCTGATAGCAATGATCTTGAAACAATAGGAGTTTCGATAAAGCCGTCAGCTATCTATGTCCACACCGTCGACGGCAATCAGTCTCCAAGGTGTTTCAACAAAAATTCTTACAGACCGTTGATTCTGCCTTCCACGTCTGCTCCCTGCGAACCTTGCAGTCCAGCAAACACATAGTGACCATGCCCAAGATCTGAGCATTATGTGAAAATACCGTGAATACTGTTTGTGTGTGTGTGTTATGTTCTTTGTCTTTGTGTTTGGCGAGCGCCCCACAGTGCATGCAAAACAAGACTTAAAGCATCAGCTCTGTTCTGTGCGCAAAAATAAAGACTCAAAGTGTAAGACTTTCTGTGTGGGCACATTGCCATTGCCCAATTCAAACCACACATTGCCCACATCCGTTGCCTTTTACATGCCCTCTGTGCAGCTACCCCACTAGTACTGTGGCACTGCGGGAGCATTTGGCCATCGAAATGCTGACAAAAACAAGTATCGTCAAGTTTTAAAGGGTTTTTAACTTTGTCAAAGTGTCGGGAAGTGCTTCTCACATGATGTGGTTTTATATGTGTATATAGACGTATATTGCTTTTTGTTGGAAGGTCCTTTCAGTGTTGTCTTTGCAGCTACATCTACGCAAATCTTCACTCAAACACTTTCCAGCACAACATCAATCATAGTTTCTCTTTGAAATCTCTAAAATGTAAAAAAAAAACAAGAAAAGCTAAACACTGAGAAGCATAGGCATAGGCAATCTATTTGGATCCCAGATGCAATTGCATGTGCACATGAAAACCATGTACACCCTCGGCACTCAAGCACGGAAGTGCAAGTGAGCCCACCACTCCACTATATCCCCTCAACCTTTCCCCGCACTCCAGTCCCAGAAGCAAGGTAGCATCATCTGCCGCAAAAGAAGACAGTATGTGCAAACCGGCTCACTTGTATGCATACTTCTGTGACATTGCGCAAAACTTAGACCTGCTGCACAAAGATCTACAAAGTACAACAATGCTCTGAAAAGTACAATGTGCCCCTGCTCTATCCTACAAAATGCTCCATCTGATTACACTATTGCGAACAGAATGTTTTATCAAGTACTCCTACACACTACAAGGTACGACGTGTTTAATATTGCTTCTAAGACTACCACTACGCAGCATCAGCACCACTTCTCGGTACGATGTATCAAAACTCTGCACTGTAGACAAAGCACAATATCCACACTTCAAAGTGCCTCTGCACCCTGCGATCTCGAAAGAACCCTTTAAGGCATGCACGAATGGAAGTGGCACTGTAAGACTGAATGGGAAAGTGCAAGTGAGCCCCATTTTAGAGAAGTTCTAGGTAGTCAGTAGGTAGATCAGTCTTGCAACCAGCACAGTGTGGAGAAAGCAAGTGAAATGCCCAAGAATCTAAACACGATGGGGATTAGGATAGTGGATGGGCTCTGGCACAGCCATGTCTCTCATCAGCATCCCCACTTACTTACATAGTCTCTAATGCATTCTATTTTAGATCTTGGATCCAGGTAACTCGCTTAGCATCTGCAAGTCCGAAGGTGCAGATCAGGCAGGGCGCCCTGTTTGGCTTTGGACCGCTTCATGAAAGAAACGTGCCCACGTTGTTGCAACGGTTTCACTACAGGGAAGAACTCAGCAACGTGGTAGACTTCGCACAATGAGGACCGCACAGGAATCTCCGAACTTAAAGCAAACACTCGCAGAGTGTGGCTGGGGCTTTGCATCTTCAGAGTTTGTTTCACACAATCCTGCAATGAGGAAAATGTAAAATCATGATTTGTATTGATTTGTGGTAATCATCTGGTTGGTGCTTCTAACCCATCCAACAAAAGGGAGTCAGTTCGGGAAAATAATACTCTATATAAATCGAATTGAAACCGAAAATACTTAAGAAACCACCAACCAGATCCATAAGTTGGTTCTGTTTCCCCAACATACAATCCTATCATATCTCATTCATGGTGAACAACCACCAAGAAGTCATGATCCTATTAGCGTGTCCTCCGCTGTCCTGCGACCTGGCTGTACCCCCAGTGCCCGCAGCTCTGTGTTTTTAGCGTTTCTTCAATTGGAGGATCCCAAGAACCCGCATGGTCATCCATGACTTGGATGATTTGGTACCCCCATTTTAAGGAAACCACCATATGGGCAATCTTTGATGAATGTGGAATATGAATGGATGAATATGATTCACAAATTGGGGAAATTGTTTCGCATGTTCAGACATGGATATTCTGAGATTGTCACGCCAGGGTCTCGAGGTCAGGGTGATTCACAATGCACTACTAGATTTGGGCCCCATTTTCACAGAAACCTGGGTTGCGGTGTGCAGCTTTTAGACCTGTACGATTCTAGAAATCTCACAGTTACGCTTTATGTGCTGGGATGTCAATGTAAGAAAGCATGCAGAGGCTTTTCTTCTAAAGGCTACTGGGCTGCTTGAATAGCACCACAAATTCAGGGGTACAGCGAGTGGTACCAAGTGGTGCAGCCGCCAAGCCTCTCACAATTTCAGGACGATCTGCATCGCTCCGCTTTGAAAGCCACAAAGGCCTGACATGAGACCAACACGACTAGCCTCTACAAAAAATCCTCCATTTGGGAGTTTCCAAAGTCATGGCGGTACCCCTAAATCATCCATTATAGATCAAGGTGGATTTTCCATAAGCCAAACATTTTGGGATACCATTTATGGAAACCCCCATTTGTTTAATGGATTTCCCAGCTCGCCACTCATCCCACAGATTCACATGACCAGGTGTCGATATGTTTTCTGAGGTTTTGCCAGCACTTTGCATACATAATTCATAACGAAACAGATTGGTGCTTCGAACTAGTCATTATTGGGAATCATTAGCCCTAATGTGGCCAGTCTTGAAGAATAAATAGGAATCACTAATAGTCAATAGATCTTTAAAACACAGCAAGGAAACCAAAAACAATTGTTGAAACATTCTATTGTTTATCATTGATTATTATTGGTCATGATCAATTATTATTGACTATTGATTATTATTTGTTTGTTGTTTATTATCATTATAAACTAACTATGGTTGGATAAACCGTCATAAATTGGCTATCTCTACTGGTCTATGCTTCGAAACCAGCCAGCCACTTTGAAGCATGGCAGCCATCGCATCCGCCCGGCCTTCCCGACCCCTTCCGTCAGGTTCTTGGCAGATTCGCCCGAAGCTTCCAGGGCCTTGGTGCCCTCCTTGGACGGTGAAAATATGGCCGAATCTACAGCAAAACTGTGGGAAAATGACAAATGAAAAATGGGAAAATCTTAAAATATGTCCAAAACTGTGGGAAATTTTATCCACTATATGAAATGATAAACTATGGGTCCGAAAAAATAGGAAAATACAGTAAATGATAAATCGGTTTCGATTTAGCCGGGGTACCACTCCCCTATTTTCAGACAAAGTCATATCAACACTGGCTGGATCTGGCTCTCCTCGTAGAAGATCTCCCCCAAGCAGTGCCAGGCTTGCAGACGCCGCACTCGGATCTGCCACGGTGCCGACTTGTCCTCACCATGGCGCTGCACATCGCATATACAGCGGTATACGACATGCATATAACCATAGCCATACAGTACTAATACAGTACTAATACAGTACTAATACAGTTTTGGTAGATACTTCTGTCATACTTGGCCATTCCCGCCATGGCTGCAGCTGGAGAAGTGGTCCTTCAGCAACTTCCTTCCCACCTGTGTCACGGTTGAGTCTATGTCGGTCACCACTTGTGCCTCAGATGAAGCGCTGATGATAAAATCAAATATCTTCGCTTAAAATCTGCAGTAGAACCTATTTGCATATGCAGTGATATATATATATATATATATGATCGAGAGACCTTTAGGTACCATTTTGTTCCGGTTAATTATGATAAATTTTAAAGCTTTTTGGAAAATTGAGAGGATTTAAAGAATTAAACGATTTAATCCTTTTAATCCTTTTAATCCTCCAGAGCCTTTGGGGGATTAAAAGGATTAAAAGGATTAACTCATTTAATCCTTTTAATCCTTTTAATCCTTTTAATCCTCCAGAGCCCCCAGAACCCCAATGTGATGACCACGCATTTAATCCTTTTAATCCTTTTAATCCTCCAGAGGCTTTGGAGGATTAAAAGGATTAAAAGGATTAAATCATTTAATCCAATGCTTGGGCCTTAGACTCCAGATCTCTGGGGGATTAAAAGGATTAAAAGGATTAAAAGGATTAAATGATTTAATCCTTTTAATCCTTTTAATCCTCCAGAGCCTTTGGGGGATTAAATGGATTAAAAGGATTAAATGATTTAATCCTTTTAATCCTTTTAATCCTCCAGAGCTTTTGGGGGATTAAAAGGATTAAAAGGATTAAGTCATTTAATCCTTTTAATCCCTTTAATCCTTTTAATCCTTTTAATCCTCCAGAGCCAATCCTTTTAGTCCTCCAGAGGCTTTGGAGGATTAAAAGGATTAAAAGGATTAAATGATTTAATCCTTTTAATCCCCCCCGTGCCTTTTGGAGGATTAAAAGGATTAAAAGGATTAACTGATTTAATCCTTTAAATCCTTTTAATCCTCCAGAGCTTTTGGGGGATTAAAAGGATTAAAAGGATTAACTGATTTAATCCTTTAAATCCTTTTAATCCTCCAGAGCCTTTGGGGGATTAAAAGGATTAAAAGGATTAAAGGATTAAATCATGTAATCCTTTTAATCCTTTTAATCCTCCAGAGGCTTTGGAGGATTAAAAGGATTAAAAGGATTAAATCATTTAATCCAATGCTTGGGCCTTAGACTCCAGATCTCTGGGGGATTAAAAGGATTAAAAGGATTAAATGATTTAATCCTTTTAATCCTTTTAATCCTCCAGAGCCTTTGGGGGATTAAACGGATTAAAAGGATTAAATTATTTAATCCTTTTAATCCTTTTAATCCTCCAGAGCCTTTGGGGGATTAAATGGATTAAAAGGATTAAATGATTTAATCCTTTTAATCCTTTTAATCCTCCAGAGCTTTTGGGGGATTAAAAGGATTAAAAGGATTAAATTATTTAATCCTTTTAATCCCTTTAATCCTTTTAATCCTTTTAATCCTTTTAATCCTCCAGAGCCCCCAGAACCCCAATGTGAGGACCAAGCATTTAATCCTTTTACTCCTTTTAATCCTCCAGAGGCTTTGGAAGATTAAAAGGATTAAAAGGATTAAATGATTTAATCCTTTTAATCCTTTTAATCCTCCAGAGCTTTTGGGGGATTAAAAGGATTAAAAGGATTAAAAGGATTAAATCATTTAATCCTTTTAATCCCTTTAATCCTTTTAATCCTTTTAATCCTCCAGAGCCCCCAGAACCCCAATGTGAGGACCAAGCATTTAATCCTTTTAATCCTTTTAGTCCTCCAGAGGCTTTGGAGGATTAAACGGATTAAATGATTTAATCCTTTTAATCCTTTTAATCCCCCCGTGCCTTTTGGAGGATTAAAAGGATTAAAAGGATTAAATGATTTAATCCTTTTAATCCTTTTAATCCTCCAGAGCCTTTTGGTGGATTAAAAGGAATAAAAGGATTAAATTATTTAATCCTTTTAATCCTTTTAATCCTTTTAATCCTTTTAATCCTCCAGGGGGTCCGGAATTCCCGGTCCAAGCCCTTGAGAAATATATTTAAATCCATTTAATCCTTTTAATCCTCCAGAGCCTTTTGGGGGATTAAAAGGATTAAACGGATTAAATGATTTAATCCTTTTAATCCTTTTAATCCCCCCGTGCCTTTTGGAGGATTAAAAGGATTAAAAGGATTTAATCCTTTTAATCCTTTTAATCCTTTTAATCCTCCAGAGCCTTTGGGGGATTAAAAGGATTAAAAGGATTAAATCATTTAATCCAATGCTTGGGCCTTAGACTCCAGATCTCTGGGGGATTAAAAGGATTAAAAGGATTAAAAGGATTAAAAGGATTAAATGATTAAATCCTTTTAATCCTTTTAATCCTCCAGAGCCTTTGGGGGATTAAATGGATTAAAAGGATTAAATGATTTATTCCTTTTAATCCTTTTAATCCTTTTAATCCTCCAGAGCTTTTGGGGGATTAAAAGGATTAAAAGGATTAAGTCATTTAATCCTTTTAATCCCTTTAATCCTTTTAATCCTTTTAATCCTCCAGAGCCCCCAGAACCCCAATGTGAGGACCAAGCATTTAATCCTTTTAATCCTTTTAGTCCTCCAGAGGCTTTGGAGGATTAAAAGGATTAAATGATTTAATCCTTTTAATCCTTTTAATCCCCCCGTGCCTTTTGGAGGATTAAAAGGATTAAAAGGATTAAATGATTTAATCCTTTTAATCCTTTTAATCCTCCAGAGCCTTTTGGTGGATTAAAAGGAATAAAAGGATTAAATGATTTAATCCTTTTAATCCTTTTAATCCTTTTAATCCTTTTAATCCTCCAGGGGGTCCGGAATTCCCGGTCCAAGCCCTTGAGAAATATATTTAAATCCATTTAATCCTTTTAATCCTCCAGAGCCTTTTGGGGGATTAAAAGGATTAAACGGATTAAATGATTTAATCCTTTTAATCCTTTTAATCCTTTTAATCCGTTTAATCCTTTTAATCCTCCAGAGCCTTTTGGAGGATTAAAAGGATTAAAAGGATTTAAAGAATTAAAGTGCGGGGCTTTTCTCGGGATTCGGGGAGGTTTGGAGGATTAAAAGGATTAAAAGGATTAAAAGGATTAAAAGGATTTAAAGAATTAAAGTGCGGGGCTTTTCTCGGGATTCGGGGAGGTTTGGAGGATTAAAAGGATTAAAATGATTAAAAGGATTAAATGATTTAATCCTTTTAATCCTTTTAATCCTCCAGAGCCTTTTGGTAGGTTCAACAGGGTTCCGGATAAAGTTCCGGGAGGCTTTGGTGCAGAGCCAGGGCAGGCTCAACAGGGCTCCGGGTTTCCGGAGAAGGTTCCGGGAGGCTTTGGTACAGAGCCAGGTTAGGTTCAACAGGGTTCTGGTGAAGGTTCCGGAGAAGGTTCCGGGAGGCTTTGGTGCAGAGTGAGGTGAAGTTCAACAGGATTTGTGGCCATTTAACTCACGGAAACCCAGCTGAAGTGTTTCCAGCGGTTGGCTTTGCAGCAGGCTTCAGAAAGATTAGTAAAAATAAAACGGTGCGGCTGTTGTGCATACCACCGAAGCTTGTTTTCCAAAGACATTTGCTGTGGATGGAAATTGCATGTCCCTTCAAAGTTGCAAGAATGCAGGGGTGAGGCATGTCACCCTGCCTTTGGCAGCATTGTAAGTGACAGCACACGAGATTTCTTGTAAAGAAGCAAGACCCGGATTTCTGGGCACCGCCACTGTCCATTTGGAAACATTTTGTTTGTTTGAAATTTCCGGGAACAAATATTTTTCGACAAGGGCCACATCACCACATGGGACTTTCAAAAAGCAATGCTCTTGAGCTGCATTGAAAGCTGGTGAGCCTCCATCCACATTGTGCAAACAGACAACATCACCAGAAGTAATTGTTGCCCCAGAAAAAAAGTTTACAACAAGAGCTCTGCATGCAAGGCATTCCCACAGGAACCACTCCAGCATTGCATAGAAATATAGGAATGCCGTCATCTTCTTTGTGGGGCCCCCTTTGCATTTTGTAGGCAGGTGCCTTCTCTAACAATCTTGACTCTTCACCCAATGTACAGATGTGCTCTGCAATGACAGACTTCATCAAAGAAGTTTCCCAATGGGTAGTGTTGCACAAGACATTCCCATGTTTTCTAATGCCTTTGTGCTTCCTTTCCATGGTCCAGCATGCAGGTAGTTGGCCATGCCTCTGGAGACTTTGACTATAATATGAAGTGACCAGTGCATCTTTGGCTCGAATTCTTCAGACCAGTCAGCTGCAACAGTTGCCTCCAATGCTGCTTCAACAAATGAAAGCAATTGCTTGTGGTCAGGCTTTTCCAAAGCAGGGATGGATAGGCAATAATCCAAAACTTTGCACCAAGCCAAAGAGCAAGTTGGCCCCAGAAGGCAAATGCCATTAGGCAAGCAGCAAATTTGGACATAGTGTGCCAGCACCTGGTACAGACCCAGAATCTCTGAGGATGAGCATTTGAATTTCCCAGCTTTTTTGTGGCCTTCCACTGCTTTGGGCAGAAATAACCTTCGCAAATTGCATTTGTGAATGGCAGGCTGGGCCCAAAGTTGCACAAAGCCATGTGCCTTCCAAATCTCAGCCACACCACTGGAAGCAAGCGGTTGGATCCACAAAAAAAAATACGCAGTTCAGCACACCATCTGGGCAGAGCCCATGCATATAATCATGCATGTATTGGGTGATTGGTCTCAGAAGGTTCTGGGACTTCAGCTTGTCACTCAGCAAGAGTGAATGCTGGGAATAATCAACCCCAGAAGCCTGGCTCCACCTTCTGAACTCGGTTTTGTTGCAAGCTGTGCTCCTCTCTTGCATCCTTGCCCACGAGGACAGGATTTCTTGGTCTGTTGCAATATCCAACAGAGAGTTTCAGTCTTTTAGGACCTCCCTGTAAAAGTACCCCGGAATGAGGATGAGCATATTTGTTGTCAAACGTGTGCTCCAGGATCAACCTGAAACATTGGCCAATGCTGGCTGCCAGCTGTGAGACTTGCTTACTCCTCTCCCCAAGCAATGTCAACCAACTTTCAGAAT